AATTAATAAATAAAATGAAAAAACTAAAAAACACTATACAAAACAACATAAACACAAAACAAACAATACACAAAACTAAAAAACACTATATCAATTCAAAATAAATTTGGGAATAAAAAATGCTTACCTTAATAGTGTGTTGAATTTAAGATTTTATCTACAAACAATACACAAAACAAAGAACACCAAAAAAAATAATCATAATTAAAATAAAAAAATACAAAGATAAAGAAAAAAGAATACATACCTTTTAAAACTACCACCAAAACAATAAAATCACTTCTAAAAATGAAATATAAACCGAGAGGAGAAGAGAAATGGAGAAGAAGAGAAATGGAACTAGAAAAAAAAATGAACCAAATGGGGGGAGGGGGGGTTTTATATAGCAATTTTTCCGACGGTATTACCAATGGACATTAATTGTTGTCAATGGCATTAAATTCCGTTAGTAATACCGTAGGAAATTAATTGAAATGCGCACCAAAAAAGTTCAAAAATCCCACCAGACTTTTCGATCCGTTGGAAAATCCATCGGTATTTTGTAGACGGACACGTGTCAGACATGCGTGCGCTTCAAGATGTGCGTAAATTCGTTGGTGATTCCATCGGTAACGCCGTCAGTATACCCCGTTAGTGATTATGGCACAATCCCGTAAATGTTTTGCAACTCTCTGTGAAATACTGACGGGTTATTGTCTGTCGGTGACTCCATCAATAAAAGTGGCACAATCTCGTAAATTTTTCTCAACTCTCTGTGAAATACCAACGGGTTATTAGCCATCGGTGAAAGTGGCACAATCCTGTAAATTTTTCTTTTTTTTTATATAACCTTGTCACAAAATCTTGAATTGTAATCTTACAGCACACACAACACAATAACAAGAGCTGATCATTAAAGAAGAATAAATATTTAATGTTTCAAATTATTACGCAACACAATAACATGTTTAGTTAGTCAGAATTCCTGTAAGGATTTTTGTTCTCATTTCCAACTTCATGCATGTTGCTAGTACTAGAAGTTGACCCAACCACCTGTTCTTCCATGCTCTCAGCAGGAACAAATAGTTCTCCATGAGCATACCAACACAGGTCATTCTTCATGAACCCTTTGGTTAGAAGATATATCGTTACAACATCTTGATGTAGAAACTTTAAATTTTTACACTTCCTGCATGGACACCTAATAACGCCATTAATAAAATTCCTCGGAATAGATGTTGTGAAATTAATAAAACCCTGGACACCATTACAATAATCCATCCTCCACAATCCTTGGGGTGAGTTCTGAGACATCCATGAACGATCATCCATGACTTTTATTGAACCTCTATAAAACATAACAAAAATATTAGTTTTACCCGACAATATCCAACAAACTAAAACAACACTTATGTTAAATATTCATTATCAATTGTCAACTATCAACATTCATACATACAAATTTATACATATATAAATTTACAGAAATCACAACTTCGAAATAGAATTGATAACAATTAAACAAGACTCGTTAAACAAGCTATTAATTATTTATTTCATCACAACACATTTAATTCGGTGTAATTCAGACAAAATTTCAACAATTTATAAATAAATATAATTTGATAAAATCTAAAATAAACTATAACAACTACAAAATTATACATTCATACTACAAGTTTCTTTAACAAATAACAATTAAACGAGTACAAACGTTAACAAAATACATATATTAAAACAATAAAATTCACAATTAAATATTAAAACTAAAGAGGATATATTTACTTACAAAAAAATGATAAAATCTACAGGAAACGGATAATGTAACCACGTACAAGATATAAGAAAATTGAGTGCTCATGTTGAGAATAGTGGAGAGTTGGGATAGGTGGTTGGCTGTAGTTTGGGAGGGGAGAGGTGGGATGGGTGGTTGGCTGCAGTTTGGAAGGAGAGAGATGGGATGGGAAAGAAGAAGAAGGAGAAACAGAGGAAGAAAGTGTCGGTAGAAAAGGGAGTATATTATGGTTTTTTTTATGGAATCATCGACGGATTACTTAAATCAATGATTTCATCAGTGATTTCATCGGTGACAGTGCCACATCACTGTATGACTATCTCAGTTTGAATCCCTTAGTCATTCTGTCAGTAAAATCATCTGACATCACCTCGCCGTTGTATATTTCCAGATAAACTTTATACCTCGTCAGCGTAACGGTCAGTATATACTGACGGTTTCACCGATAGATATATGTCGTCGGTATGTACTAATAGATTTTGAGACAGAACTATGTCCGTAGATAATTATTACTGATGGAAAATATCTGGCAATAATTCTGTTGATTTTCTCTAGTTTTCTAGTAGTGATTTCTTCTTCGACAGCTCCTTCATTTCCTCCCAATTAGACACTAGCTCACGTTGAGTACGATGTAATTATTCTTCCATGCTACCCCTGCATGTCCTTTTAATTTCATATGGATATAACAAACTTCTTTATCCTCGGACAAAGAGAACTAATCGAAATAATCCTCAATGGCTGTTAAGCAATCTTCAAAAGCATTAGAGTCCAACTTCCTAAAAATACCTGGGACATCTATCTTCATTCTCCTAGTCAGTTCATCAAAAGGGTGATGGTTAAAGTCATGCCCTCTTTGTCCCTTGCAAAATTCATGGCCATTTCGCCCAAAATGAGCTCTCCGATCACCAAATCCCTTGTTCCTCTCCTTGTATTCTTCATCATCTTCATCCCCTTCACTACCATCTATTTCATTTTCCAGAGGAGGCCCACACACCCGCCTATTGTGAGGTCCAAACTCATCTCGAGCTCGACGTTCATCCGTTACATCTATCCTATGATTAATTTGTTTCAGGACAGATGTGAGTTGGGTGATCTGTGCTTGTAGTTGCGGTATGTCAGCGTTTGGGTTTTGGCTATTCGATATATTTATTGTAAGAATTACCACTACGGGTTACATGCATGAGACACTGAATTCCTTGAGGAAAGAAACCTTGCTCTCTAAAGCCACCCTCTCGTCAAATGCTAAGAGGGAAAAGAAATACAAAACATAGTCTCTCTGTCAATGGAATCTCTCAATTCTCGAATTCATCATTAAAGAAAAATTAGTAAATAGTAAATACCTTTCTTTTCTATTACTATCACTTTTAAAAGATTACGTATGATGCTATAATTCAAGAAATAAAGTAGGAAAAAATTGCTAACATATCAACAAAATCTTACAAAAATAAATTAGGAAAAAATTTAACAACTTAGGAACAAAATTTTGGAATCAATAAATAAAAATTCCAACAGCCGAATAAGTCTCTATCCTCAATGATTCAAGGAGCAGTTTCTGCTTGGAAGCCGTGCTCTACATTTGCATCCATTGATCATGATAAAAATAGATGAAATCAACTATTTTTCTTCTTCTATATTATATCAAGATTTAAAAAAACTCTTATTTTCTCTCTATTTTGCTAATTTCTTTGATAAAAAAATCATTTTTCATACATCAAAATTAAATCAAATTAATTCTTTTTTTAGTAGGTGTTATATAGACCATCAATATCCAACTGCAACATTTATTTAAAAAAGGAAATTACTATTTTGTTTCAGCCTCTCCGACGTAAAGAATACTAATCGAGCTAAGGCTGAAAAATGACTAATAAGCATTTAGCAAATAAAGATGTGAAAGTGGTTTAGACAAAAAAAAAAAAAAAAATCTTAGGTTGACTACACGACAACTTGGATGCAGGTATCTTCTGGGTTTCAATTATGGGAATAACGTTTCATCCTTTCTTTAGTGGGCCCCACTTTTACGTTAACAACATTTTCGTGGTCCCTTCTTCGAGAAAAGGAAAGAATTGCCTATCCCAAGTGGCCAAATCCTATCCTAACTTGTCTCTCGTCGTCTGCTTTTTCAAATTCTATTAAAAG